GGTTTATCCATCATTATTTTCTATCCATTTTTTCTCCCTCCATTTCTATTCTTAATCTCCTTTCTTTCCTCATATTAAAATACCAAAAGAACTCCTTCACCACCCCCATATTGTTCCATCCATTCCCCATACAAACACGCTCATTTTCTACCCATACTTTGGATCCTGATTGCCCAAATAATCGATTATCAAATATAGATAATTGACTATTGCACCCTTCTGAATCCACTTGGCAAAAGCCGCAAGGCCCAATAATCGATTGTCACACTTGTGTCAATCGACTATCCGGCATCCCTGAAGTTCCTTTGTTTTGCAGCATCACTACATAATCGATTGTCAAAGCCCATAATCGATTATTGAGTGTCCTAGAACTCTGAATCCAAAGCTGCATCATCCCTCGGTTCCTCCTTAAAATAACAACTCGTTTATACCCTGGGTATCGGGTATAACAAATGAGCTCTGATACCAGATGTCATACCCGAGACCCGGGGTATAATCGAATTGTTATTTTGAGGTGGAATCAAGGGATGATGCAGCTTTGAGTTCAAAGTTCAGGAGTAGGTGATAATCGATTATGGCTAGGTGGTAATCGATTGTGGAGCTGTGCTGCTAAAACCCAGAAACTTCAGGGAAGGCAGATAGTCGATTATCAGTATATGATAATCAATTATTGGGGTTCGCAGCTTATTCCAAGGGAGTTCAGGAGGGGACGATAGTCGATTATCTTTGTTGATAGTCAATTTTCAAGGCAGTCAGGATCCAAGATCAGGGTTGAAAATAATGGTGTTTGTGTGGGGAATGGTTGGGGTTTGTGGAGATGATGAAGGAGTTCTTTTGGTATTTTGATATGAGGAAAGAAAGGAGATTAAGAATAGAAATGGAGGGAAGAGAAATGGATAGAAAACAATGATGGATAAACCAAGTTGGTGCTTAAGAGATATTACACACTCTTATCCTCACTTGGGGTTTGAATCTAGAATTTAATTAAGATATGACACACTTAATCAAATATATAGAACCTAAAACTCACACTTAAGATAACCACTCTTAAGATATAGAATTAGGGATTTGGCGAAAATAACATCAGACTATTTTATAAATACTCAAAGAGTAAAAGGTTTTCAATATTCAAAGATGTTCCTGCATATTGCCCTAAGGCTACATTATATAGGGAGAGAGGAAGGGGAGAATAATACACAATACAATGAATGTGAACATAAGGAAGCTTCCTAGCAACATCCACTTCCAAAGCATGGGGTAACCTTCATTGGATCCTGTCTCCAAAGTGGAATAACATCAGGAATGGGGCTGGGGTTGTGGGGTTTTGGGTTTTAGGTTTGTAGTGGCTGTTTCCTGGGTTTTGTGGCTATTATTTGGGTAAAAATGGGTGGTTGTTTTTGGCCAATAAAAGGGGAACAGGGATGGGGAGTATTATGGGTGTTTTGGACTTATTGCCTTGGGTTATTGTAAGGGAAATATGGGCAGGAAGTTGGGGCTAGAGATGAGTCATGGTTTTGGCCTTTTGTGGGTGTTTGTGTTGGGATTGTGAGGCTTAATTGGCCAGGAAATAAAATGAAGGAAGGGAAGGTTTTACTTGTTTATTAAAAGGCTTAAAAGAAGGAAAATATTAACAACAAAAAGGTTTTGGTTTACGCATTCTTATTTTCGGCCATGGGCTAAAAATAAGTGTAGGAAAACTTTATTTTGAAAGGAAGTAAATGGAAAGGAGTTTTGGATGTTTAGGGGAAGGTATGGGGAGTGTGTGTTCAGCCTAGGGTGGGCGTAGGACAACCATGGTGTTGGGTTGGGTTCTAAGACGGAAAAATGGAGCAGTTTCAACCCAATTAATGTCACCACACTTGGGCTTTATTCCCCTGATCCGTCTTTCCCTTTGTGGGCTACGGAAGGTCTTTGGGCACGCTCTCAGATATATAACAGAAGGTTATAAGGCTTTTTTGGTGAAGTTTTGGGCAAGGAATGGTAGTTTTAAGGAGGGGGAAGGCTAGGGACGAAAATGGCAGCAAGGAGGAAATGTTTTAGGCTATTGTTTGAATGAGGAATGAAGGAGAAAGGTGATATTTAAGGGGGAAGGATATGTGGGGAGGCCGAAAATGGGAAAGAGGAGGAAATGAAGAATTATAGTATTTTCATAAAATAGATAAACCAAGTTGGTGTTTAAGAGATATTACACACTCTTATCCTCACTTGGGGTTGTGCCTAGTATTCAAATAAGATATTACACACTTATTCAAATGACTAGAACCTAAAACTCACACTCAAGAGAACCACTCTTAAGATATAGATTTAGGAATTTGGGTAGCAAAACACACAAGTGTATTACTAAGAAAATTTAGGATTACAACTTCAGGATTACAATGGCCTATGGCCGAAATGTATACATATCAAAGGAAAATAATGACCACTTATTGATGCCCTTTTGGTGGGGAGAAAATGCAGTAGGGGTTGTACATGTAGGGCTGGAATTTCGGACATTAGTGGAAGGAAGGAATAAGTGAATAAAACCCACTTATTTGATTGGTTTTTGTGGGGGTATTTCGGCCAAAAGGGAGGGCTAAATGAGGGGAACTTGCAGGCTGTTTTGGAAGTATTTCTTAGGTGGTATATGGGGAAACATAGGAGGGGTTGATTGGTGTGGTGGTGGGCCAATATGTCCTGGATTTTAATGGGTGTTTGGTCAGCCTAGTTGGGGAACAAGAGGGGGCATATGGCATGGGTTGGAAGGGAGGTTTTGGCATGTAGTTTTGGTCCTTTAATGGAGGGAATGAAGGGGCTGGATTGGTTTAGTGTGGGGGCAGGTTTTCTTGGCCTTAAGGATTGAGTTCAATGAAAAAAATAAGGGTGGGGTGTGTTTGGGTTGTGAATTTCGGCCAAGGGGAGAAAAGGGAGGAGGAAAAGGAGATTAAGGGGTTTAGGGCTGATTTGTATGTTTGGGTTTTGGGTTAGTGATATACCCCGGGCGACTACCAACGACTCTAAAGTCGTTAAACAAATTAACGGAATAATGGCTAAGTGTTATGATTCCTTTTGGACCGAACTTATCAATCCTAAAACCCGCCACATAGCCATAATTTCCCTGAGCCCAACTCCAACTTAAAAGGCCCAGCCATTCTCATCCAATCCAAACCCCAAAATATCCAAAATAATAAACCCAAAACTACATTTATTTTTCCTTCATCCCTGGCCAAAAACCTCATGCCACAACCCTACCAATACCACTCCTTTACACCTTAACTTGGCTAAACAAACAGCCATAAAATCCAAGACACCTTGACCCACACCCACACCCTTCAATTCCCCATGTTTTTACCCCATATCCAGCCCAGGAAATACCTCCAAATAACCTGCTACCCCACCCTTTTCTCCTGCCCAAAACAACCCCACCTAAGCCAATCAATTGTGAATTATATTCACATATTCCCTCCCACCACTAATAGCCAAAA